ACAGACAGGTACTCAGAGTTACAAATCCTGTCATTACTGACAGACATGTACTCAGGGATAACAGATATTGTTATTACTGACAGACATGTACTCAGGGATAACAGATCCTGTTTTTACTGACAGACAGGTACTCAGGGATACAATCCTGTTATTTACTGACAGACAGGTACTCAGGGATACAGATCCTGTTATTACTGACATACACTCAAGGATAACACATCCTGTTATTACTGACAGACAGGTACTCAGGGATAACAGATCCTGTTTTTACTGACAGACAGGTACTCAGGGATAACAGATCCTGTTATTACTGACAGACAGGTACTCAGGGATACAGACCCTGTTATTACTGACAGACAGGTACTCAGGGATAACAGATCCTGTTATTACTGACAGACAGGTACTCAGGGATAACAGATCCTGTTATTACTGACAGACAGGTACTCAGGGATAACAGATCCTGTTATTTACTGACAGACAGGTACTCAGGGATAACAGATCCTGTTATTTACTGACAGACAGGTACTCAGGGATAAAAGTTAGTTTCCATGGCCACTGCGATAGCATCTTTTATGTTATTACATGTACATTTTATCTTCATATCAGTAACATCAAATGGCTATTTAATAGCTTGTTTTTGTCTTGTATTTCATATATATGTTTTTCTTGTTCCCTATAGCTAGTTTTGCCTATTCATTTTCGGTCTGATCAAGTGGCCATTTTGGATTTTTACAGTGAAATTTGTTTTTGCTGTTTCTGAAGGAAAACTGGAATGATTGTTCTCACCTTTATTATGTAGGTTCCCCTTTATTCAAAGTTGTGCCTGATTGATTTTTAGACTGATCAGAAAAGAAATTTAAAAAATGACTGACAGATGGCTGTAATCGCCAAGTAAACATGGTTATCACTACTTCTTGAGAACTACTCCATAAATCTATCTCTGATTCATTTGTAGGTTCCTCTTGGTCCATAGTCGTGCCCATTTGATTTTGAGACTGATGAAAAAAAAAAAAAAATGGCCAACAGATGGCCATCTTGGATCTCATTAAGTAAAGATTGCAATTTCTTGAGAACTTGGTCCCTAGCTTTGCCTATTTGAATATATTTTGTCCATATTTTGTGTGAGACATCCTTAACTGGGTGATGGCGCCTCATAGATCTGATCTTAGCATCTCCCTGACACCAGCTGGGTGGGGCCCAATAGGGGAAATAAAAAAATGATACTTTAAAATCCTTCTTCTGTTGGGATTAATGTATTTTGCCCAATTTTGTTTGGGGAAGAAGATTAACTTTTATCAGAATGATGGATTTTGACCCCTAGGGGTCTGAGCAGTGAAGCTTTATAGGAGAAACTTAAGAAGTCTTCAAAATATTTCTTCTTCCTCTGAATAATATGATTTTATACCCATTTAGTCTGAAGCAATCTTGGTGATCAGAGCTCAATTTCATATAAGTATAGTTGCTCTGAATCTTACAAGACAGATAGGTGTCAAATACTGATGGAAGAAAAAGAGAAAACTTTTAAAATTCCTTCTTCTGTCTTATCTGACCAAATTTGATCTACAGCATCTTTGGGTGAAGGATACTTAGTTTTTTGTGATAGGTCTGATCTCACTGGGGAAAGACTGGCAGGGTCAAATGGGGAACACAGAGGAAACACTTAAAAATTAGTCCTTTGATAGGAGTGAAAGTATTTTCACAAAATTTAGTTGAGGCATCCATGGTGAAGGGCACTCAGTGTTGTTTAATAGAGGGTCTGAGTGGACATGATAAGAGCAGAGGACCCAAAAGGTTAGATATTAAAGGCAAATCTTAAATCCTTATTCTGACAGGATGAAAGAAGTTTAAACAATCTGTTTTGAGTATCCTTGGATGAAGTGGACTTAGTTTTGTATAAATGTAATCCGAACCACCCTGGAGCCTGAGAGATGGGGCCCAAGATGGGAAATAAAATTATCACTTTAAAATCTTCCTTCTTTAGTAGGAATAACTAAAGTTTACTAAAATGTGGTCTGGAGAATCCCTGTGTATCTTTATATTGTTTACACTGTGAGTCAGAACCTTTTTGGGGTCAGAAGGGTGGGAAGGAAATAGGGGTAAAATATATTCCATTCAATGTGCATGAAGCAATTTTGACTAAACCAAAGCAGATAAACCATACAGGCCTAATGGGCCTTTTGATAGACTTAGTCGTCATGCTTTGGAAGCTGAGATCAATTTGGTGATGTAGATATTATTTGATCTTAGAGAGTTCAGGGATACATCATTTTATGAAGTGTGATTTACTGCAGATAGTTGATGAAAAAGGCAATATTTTGTAATACATGTAATGTTATACTTAACTTGAATGTTGGAGAGGCAGATCATTTGTTAGATGAAATGTAAACAGGGATCAAAAACAGACAATTCTTAATTTTTACTCCCTTTAGGATGAGACCTGGAAATAATCAGTGTTCTGAGACTGTATTATAGTTAAAAAACATTAATATTTACAAGTATAGTGAATCAATTATAGGTCACTATTAGTGTTAGAGTTTGTATCCCACAGTTGTAACTGTATACTACCTATCCTTCTCTGGATAAATATCAAATTTATAAAAGTTTCAAGTCCAGAAGGATATCTCACATTCATACAAGAGCCTGCTGGTAGATAACCATTTCACAATCAATGTTATTTGTTTGGTCTGGGTGTTTATGGAATATATTATAGTGGAATTTATAGATGAATGCAAATGAGAAGTTTTCTCTATTTCTTTGTCTCAGGAAATCTGTGGGCTTTTTATACCGGGCTATATATTTTTATCATTATCACACTTCAGTATCATACATGTAATTAATGTTTACTCAGTGGATAAGACTATGGACATAATTTTAATAGCTCGCCTGTCGCTGAAGGGTGGTTATGTGTCATTGTACCATAGTTTGGTTTGTTATGTCTGTTGTTCAGCCACAATCTATCAATTTCTCTTTTTTTAAATACAGTGAAGATTGGTTCAAAGAATTTTCACAAAATTTGCTTTCGGGCACCAATACTTGATGTGACATGAAGCCCTGCAAGAGCAAATAAAAAGAGAAGGGTCCTTCATTCTTGGAATAAGTTTATATTAAAAACCTTAATCCAATTTTTTTGTCTTCTTTCCATACGGCAATATGTTGCTTAATACTTTGTATTACATATGAGTAATTCTTGCACAAAGAAATGTTGAAACCCCCATCCTCCTCAGTCCTCCCCCACCCCCCAAAAAATGATATTAAGGATAACACAAATGGATGATACAAAAAAAGAAACCCCTGGGTCATAGGCATAAGGAATTGTGGCTTCATATATATATAAAGAAAATGTATAAATACAATTCTCTCTTCAAAATCCTTCATCAGACAAATGTTGTACACATCTCGGGGATCTTTCATGAAGGAATCAGGATTATGTAAACATAGCCTTTCATCTGAATAGGAGCAGAAAGGTACAGCTAACTTGAGGAAATCAGATTTTTTTTTTTAATTGATTTTGAAATAACTGCTATAGTGTGAACAAAGGGGTTCTGATCTCATCAATTCAACATAAAAGATTCCAGGTCAACTCAGGGCATAAACATTTATAAACATTGTTTGGTGCTTATGCACTCAATGTGCAAGTGAAGGTAAAATTGAAAATGTTTTAATGAATACAGTTATTAATTAATGTACAGGTGAGAGTATTTCTGTGTGATGTTCTATTGAGTACCTTGTATAGGGTTGGGGAATTAAGGTGGGTAGATGGCCCAGTGTGGGTAATGAGAACAAAGGAGTAAATAACATATGTACAACATATTATATATCTGTTAAAGGTTGACGGCCTGATATGAAAATATAAATGTAATTTTTTATAAATGATTTTCATGGCAACATTGTGTTTACTTTCACTTTATATGATATATTTTGTTTTTAAGTTGATCAGAAAAGGAATCTGAATTTCAGCGAGGTTTCGCATATAGCAGATACTAATGTCACTTATAAATCCTTATCATATGTACACCATATGTACATGGTGTATATCTTGTGTATACCATATGTACATGGTGTATATCTTGTGTACACCATATGTACCTGGTGTATATCTTGTGTACACCATATGTACATGGTGTATATCTTGTGTACACCATATGTACATGGTGTATATCTTGTGTATACCATATGTACATGGTGTATATCTTGTGTACACCATATGTACATGGTGTATATCTTGTGTACACCATATGTACCTGGTGTATATCTTGTGTACACCATATGTACCTGGTGTATATCTTGTGTACACCATATGTACCTGGTGTTTATCTTGTGTACACCATATGTACCTGGTGTATATCTTGTGTACACCATATGTACATGGTGTATATCTTGTGTACACCATATGTACCTGGTGTATATCTTGTGTACACCATATATACCTGGTGTATATCTTGTGTACACCATATATACCTGGTGTATATCTTGTGTACACCATATGTACCTGCTGTATATCTTGTGTACACCATATGTACCTGGTGTATATCTTGTGTACACCATATGTACCTGGTGTATATCTTGTGTACACCATATGTACATGGTGTATATCTTGTGTATACCATATGTACATGGTGTATATCTTGTGTACACCTATGTACATGGTGTATGTCTTGTGTACACCATATGTACCTGGTGTTTATCTTGTGTACACCATATGTACCTGGTGTATATCTTGTGTACACCATATGTACATGGTGTATATCTTGTGTACACCATATGTACCTGGTGTATATCTTGTGTACACCATATATACCTGGTGTATATCTTGTGTACACCATATATACCTGGTGTATATCTTGTGTACACCATATATACCTGGTGTATATCTTGTGTACACCATATGTACATGGTGTATATCTTGTGTACACCATATGTACATGGTGTATATCTTGTGTACAGTAGCTTATTATAAAGAATTATACACCTGCCTACATGATTTATCTGTGTTGTTTCAGGGCACCTGGGACTAGTGATGGTTTGTGTCAGTGTGGGTACCCCTTTTCTGCCCACCCTCACACACGCCCACATGATGGCTACCCTTCGACCAACTGGAAGGTGGACACAAACACTTACTCCCTACCCACAGACACATTCGGAGAGGTGGAGTTTGTAGGGTATGGGCAGACAGAGAGAAAGGTAAGATATTAATACTACTGAAATCTTACAGTGATGAATCATCACGCTTCATCGCTTGTTTATGTAATCAGTAGCCTCCCATATATTGGAGTATTTGTGATAGATTAGCATAATGATTGTCTCCCTTGAATGTTTAAAGCTGAGAGTAATGTTTTTGTATCTATCCTACAATGAGATCAGGGTGCTGTCAAATCACTATGTACTTAAAAGGTCAAAGATGGAATAAGTGTGAGTTTTTCCTTTATTTTCCAGTCTGAGTGAAACTGTTAAGATTTCCTTATATTAGTAACTGTACCCCTTCCTGTATATCACACACTGACAAAGTGCAGCACTTGTCATTGCATTATTGTAACTTTGATCTTAAGGTCAAAGTTCAAGTAGTGCAAATATTTCCAATATTTTCTTGTCTGGATGATGACATTTAAACCATTAGATATAACCTATAAAAAGTTGCAGTATATTGCTCTATAATACCCACTGATGAAGTGCACTGCTCTGTAGATGCACAGTTATTTGACTTGTTTGATTTATTTCAATTTGTAACAATCACTATATGTAGTACATGTACTTGCCTAACATAACTGCCAAAATTTACCTACATTATGAAGAACTCTTTCATTTTGGAATTTTTATTTTTCCACACCCAGTGTACTACAAAGTCAGCAAATAGAGCTGGTACATGCTGTTAAAGGGAGACATGTTTTTGTTTACTAAAACAAGTCTCTAGTTACTTATGAACTTATGATTATTGTCAAATTAAAACAGTTGTGGTAATGATAGATATGGATATGGCACATACTTACTGGTAGTTTAAGTAAAATTTTGCAATAACTTAAAACCAAAAGATTTTTTTTTTTTTACAAATGTCATTAAAAATTTGTCTCTATGAAATTATTTTCATTGTTACTGGTTTTTTGCTGTTTTATTCAATGCTCCAAAAAGACAAAAATGGAACCCCTTTTAATGAAATAACTGACTTGTTTAGCTTAAACAATTTTTTGGCAAATTTCACTGTAATTGTCTCTCATTGATTGCAGTATGTGCGAGTAGATGTTAAAACAAAGACAAATGACATGCTAAAGTTGATGATGGATGTGTGGGGCCTTGACAAACCAAATCTTCTTATTTCTGTCACTGGTGGTGCTAAAAACTTCCACATGAAAGAGAGGCTAAAGGAAGTATTTCGAAGGGGCTTGATGAAAGTAGCTAAAAGCACAGGTAAGATTTGACGGCGTTATATATATATATGAAACTTCTTGAAAAATTAAGACAGTGTTTTTTGAAAACAGAATGCTAAAGTAAACCATAACAATTGGTCAAAGCATGAATTTCCACTGATCCTTGACTTCGTGGTTTCCCAATATCAAGTGCATCGGTCCTGTCTGAATTTATTGAATTTTGATCAGTTATTTCCCATTTGCAGTAATATAAAGTGAAAACAATTTTTCTCTTAACAGAAAAAGCTACAAGTAGTCTTAATTACTTTAGATAGACCTATACAATGTCTGAAAATTTCTTCTTACATTGAGTTTATGTATCAATTATTAATTTTTGAAATAAGGTAATTACCTCCTGCAACACCAAAGAATGAGTTGTATGGACTTATAGGCTGTTGTCAATCAAACAAACAAACAAACAAAAACTGCTTGAATTAAAGAAAACAGTTCTTCATTATTGTATTGTGGTAAATATGTCATCAGTCTGTGACTGCTGAATGAATATTTAACTAGCTTTAACCAAGCTTTAGGCAGCTGTCAAAATTGGTTCCTGTTGTCATGTTAATGATAGTAATTCATGAATTATTCCGAGCGAAATCAATCTTTGTGTTGAATTCTACCGTTTATTATTTCAATTTGGCAGGATGAATGATCCCGATTATTTTTGTGATGTAGAATGTTATTAGTTTATAAGATGAAATATATAGCTACAGTATATGTGTTAATATGGAAATGGATTATCAAAATATTTACAATTTTCCATTTGTGAAGGTAACAGACTGTGTACTGGTTATTGATTAAGGTTGATCAGGATGTTGATGATGTCGTATAGATTAGGATTTCACACATAGTGAAAAAAAAGTTGGTGTTTTGATAAATAGTCTCTTCATCTATTCTTTGAATATTTTCTATTCTCTACAGGATAACGTCTTTAATACTAACAGAAATTTAATGAATCTTAGTCAGAATCTGCATCATAAGGTGAAGTCCATGATAGTTATAATAAAAACAGTCCGTGGTACTGCTTGCCTTAATATCCTGATTTAACAAATGCACCCCCCCCCCCCACCTTTCCTTGAGAGACAGATAAGATTCAGGATGATTCATTGTTGAAAAAAAGGTGTGGCTTAGAATCCAGAAAATATGGTATGTGTCAGGTCATTTACCATAGCCATATAAGGCTTTCAATTATGGGATGTATTTGTATTATAAAATATATAAAAAGAGGGGAAAAAAATTATTGTGTGTGTCTTATTGATGTCACGAGGAAATAAGGACATTTTGGTGTGAAATATACACTAAAGATACACAAGATACACACCTTTAACCTTTAACCCTTAACCTTTTTTTTTGTTATCTGTCAAGATTAATGGCCAAAAATCTCAATTGATCACTCCTGAAATTTTCAAGGTAATATCCTCAACCATTGTTGGTTGTGGGCCGGAGTTTAAATTAGGATGTATCTAGGCAAGTTTTATTAACTTGTCATGAGAAAGTACTTGGCCTAGATTTACATGATAAATATCAATATTGTCAATCAAGTAGCAGAAGCTTCTCCATGTGGAACACATGGTCTTATTTTCCCTGTACCATTGTCTATTTGCACATTTTTGGTCTTATTTTATCTCTGCTAAGTCTTCACTAAAACTGAATCTTTGGGAGGTTTAGATGATTCACTAGTAGTAGATATGGTTAATGTTTTACCTGATGGTGTGTTCTAGGTGCTTGGATTATCACTGGAGGGACCAACACTGGAGTGATGAAACATGTGGGAGAGTCTGTTCGGGATTATGGTCTCACATCTGCATCGTCCACGCCGGTCGTTGCTATTGGCATAGCTACCTGGGGTGTCGTCCAGAACAAGCAAGAGCTCATCAGTAAAGATGTAAGTGTTTTGCAGCATTAATATAGACTTGTCTTAATGTATGCTTTATTATGTCTGGTTTGTGTAAGGTTTTTCAGTGTTAACTTATACTTATAATATAAGCTTACCTTTTAAGTCTATTTTGGAGATAACTTCATGACTTTCAATTTTTAATCTTTATTTTTAAGTTCTGAAAAGTTCCAATCAAATACATTTATTTTTTTCATGCTGACGATGATCAGCAGAAAACAAATATTAACATCTCCATCTTGTATGATATTTTACAATACTATTTCAGCATATATATCTCTTTTGAAGTATTACTTAAATGCTTCAAGATTTCACCGCATAAAGACATTGAAAGGTTAACATGAAGGAGTTTGGTAGTCATACAACTGACACAGTATATATGATAAGGTTATGATGTCCACCTTTGTAAGTTGCTTTTTATTTACCACAGGGTAACGGGAAGTGGCCAGCCCGATATAGGATTGAAAAAGAATCAAAGGTCCGAGAGAGCTCCTTGGATCCTAATCACACACATTTCATTCTAGTGGATGATGGGACCCAGCACAGTTTTGGGGTGGAGATCCCTTTCCGTGCTGAACTCGAACAGACTGTTGCCAACATGAAGACTGATGCAAGTAAAGGTAAGATGATATTGAGTGATGTGGAGTGTTGTGTGAACACATTAGTTTCAGCTGATAAACATGGATTTATAATCACTATGTACATTTATTGAACTTTGTAACATCACTGATAAAGGGAGATAATTTTTGGCTTGTGGCCTGTCCAGGCCTCAACCTTATGATCTACAGCACCAAATCACCTGGCCAAGGAATTCTTCTGCTGTCTAACACTTAAGCCATCATGTAGACATAGGAAGTTTTTTGTACCCCAAACTTAGGAAAGGAGGAATGGGTGTATATACATGAATCAGTTTTTCTGTGCTTATGTGACATTGATTATTTTGTGTACAAGTTACCTCATGAATTCTTGGACAGATTTGGTTCAGATAAACACCATAGCATCATGTTAGCAAGGTCTACACCTGAGTAGATTTTGGTGCTTAGTAGTTATTATTAAGGTTAAAGGTCAACCCTTCACTTCTTTGTAAATAAAATGCTTTTGTACAAGATATCTCATGAACCTTTGAACAAATTTCATATCCACACCATAGCATCACAGCACCATGGTTTATGCCTGATTAGATTTTATTGGTCAATGGTCAAGGTTAAATGGCAAAGATCAAAGATCACAGATCAAAGATCACAGATCACAGATCAACCTTGCTCAGTTTGATTAAAGATCACCTTTGCTCACCTTTTATCTATGAGAACCCTTGCTCACTTTGTTTTCTTGCTACTGAATGTTGTCTGTTTGTTTTGTGTACAGATGCTGTGTCAGTTCCTCTTGTACTACTGGTGCTTCAAGGTGGTCCAAACACACTGCAGACTGTAAAACAGGCTGTTGCAAACAATACACCTATTGTAGTGGTCGAGGTACGCATAAGGATGTTGTCTATCCACCTGTCAATATAGACAACTAATACTAACAAATTTTGAGGAGAGCATGACAAAACACCAGGAAGGATTTTAATTTATATAATATCAAATCTAAAGACCAGAAGGAAGTCAAAAAGTAATGTAATATGCATATTAGTGAATAATATACATAATGTTTGATTGTCAAAGCCATATTCTCATCAACAACAAACAAGGCTGAAAGTTTTCCTGTAGTGAACTATTTTCTGGATTGTTACAGATTTGTTATAGATATCATAATTTTTATGTATATTTAAGCGGTATTAGAGTATTAAATCACATGTTTCAGGGATCGGGTAAGGCGGCCGACATCTTGGCTTATGCTTACAACAATTCTGCTGAAGAAGAAATTGAAGTGACAGATCAGGATGGTAATATCCTAACCCAGTAAGTTATCAGTCTTTACAGCTGGTCTATAGAAACCATTTATATATTATATTATAGATACCAAAATATAAACTAAACTAAAATTTACTTATCTTCATAATATATTATGCTATCCTGCTGGCTTTCAAAATAGATAGAATTGAAAAACAACATTGGTTAGGCTAAACTTTTAGAAAGAAATGAGCAGGTAAGCATTTGTAAACATTTTACATAAAAAAAACTTCAGGGCAGCTAGACACTTTTCTACTCTAGTCAGTTAAGTGTAATCACTATATGATCAAAAGAGGACAATATCTTTTATTATTGTGGTTGTCAGAATGCGGACGCTGTTCGATGATGCCTTGAGTGCCCAAGTGCAGGAGATGGTACAAGAGGCGTACGGAACTAAGAATCTTGTTAACAACTGTGGTGTAGTGAAGGACTGTTTGGAGAAACGCGACCTCATCAACGTGTTCAAACTTGGCACATCCATTGGCTCTCAGAAAGATATTGATGTTCCTATTTTACATGCCCTACTTAAAGGTGGGTATCACCATAGCAACAGTCAGAAAGAGGCTGGTGGTGTGCAGTAGAACTATATATAAAGGAGGATTTGTATTGGTTTCCGGGAAGAATTCATTTTGTCACTAGTTTACATGGATATATATTGAATTCAGAATTTTATAAGAATTGTATGGATCCTAGTTAACATTTTATTGTCATGGTAATCCTGCAACCTTCCCGGCCAACTTAGAGGTCACTTCTTTATTATGAAGTCATCATAAGTTGGAGTGCTATCAAACATCAACAGGTTACACCTCGTCAGGACCCTGACAATCCGTAAATGGTGAAACCGGTCGGCAAAGTAATATATTATACCTATTACTTAACTTGTTAAAGCTGTTTGATGTTGAACACTCCTACTTATGATGTCTTATCAATTTTATTGAGTAACTGTGAATACCTGTGGGTATCCATCTTCCAGCGATGGAGCTGTCTAAGGACCCTACCTATCTATCTATCTACCTATCTACTGGACCAGCGTTGGCTCCTTCCTCCTGTTTTTAGTTATACCACATTAAGAGAAAAGTTTATAGTCACACTGTCTGTTTTCTAAACCTCAGGCTAGATAGGGGTCTAATCGAATGAATGTGATAAGACTTAGGGATCTAACGATTTAGTAATATGTTTCCTTTACAATAATTATGAGGCCAAAATTCCTTGTTCTATCTTATACATGTAAAGATGGGAAAGTAAGTTTGCAATAGTTCTCTACACCAAAAAGTCCGTGATAGACATCTGCCAGAAGAAGACTCATGTTTTACCTGTTACACTTTGTAGTACGATGATGTATGATTACTAGTTTTTAAATTCTTAAACTTAAATGTTTGATGTCACTAATCATGAAATTTGAATTTGAAGCAAACAAAGGCCAGGACTTCCATCAGCTCCGACTAGCTCTGGCCTGGAACAGGATTGATATCGCCAAAAGTGAAATCTTCACAGACGACAAATTGTGGCCTGTAAGAAAACATGTTGTGCTTTGTTTTATTAAAACAGACGAACCTGTGGCTAATGTTGACTAGTTTGTTTGGTTGATACAAATTAAAGTACGTAAACTAAGGATTAATTGAAAGTTTATTTTGCTGAAGCCTTGATTGTGTAGGACTCTTGTTTTGCAACTGGTCAAAGGCATTAAGAACAGCTCATGCATTTACTCAATGTAGGAATAACAAAAATGAAAACCTTATTAATTCTTGTCTATTCTAATTGTAATCTACAGTACATGATGGACAGATGATTTAGGGATATCAAATGTTTGTGTTTCAGTCTGGCAGTCTTGATGAAATCATGCTGTTAGCTATAAACCTGAACCGTGTGGATTTTGTGGAAATGTTCCTAGATAATGGTGTGAGTCTGAAGGAATTTCTGTCAGTCAGAGTCCTGCTGCAGCTGTATAACTCGGTATGTACTACACAGAATAACTTAAGGATTAGTTATACAGATTAAAAAGATAGAAAGATACACAGGTTTAAAGTTTATACAAGTTTACAGTTTAAACAGGTTTACAGTTTTCACAGGTTTACAGATTACACAGCAGTGCTGTTTTAGAATTTGGAAATCAGAATTCAGAAATTGTTTGTGTTCATGTACACTTTTGTTATGGACAGGTTCAGAAAAACTCGCTGTTGTACACATTACTGCAGAAGATGAAGAAGAAGAGTGACAATGTAAGTATTATATATTTACATGTCCTTAGATGTGATATTCTTTATTGGAACATCTGCAGCTGGGTTTGGAGAAGAGGTTTATGTTTTACACAAACAGGGACTGAAAACTGTAACAGTATTTTATGAGCTTTTGAAAAATCAAATGAAGAGTGTAGATGACAGAGTCTTGATGACAGTTCACAATTCAATGCATTTCATATTGAACAACTGCAGCTGTGAATAATCTGACATACCAACGTCCGTTTAAGTAACAAACATAATTTTATGTGCAGTTCTACATAAACATTTTTTTTATCCTTTGATAACCCTAGGGAGGGAAGGGAGCAACATTTAACATCAGGAAGTTTCATTAGGGGTAGGGATTCAGACTTTTGTGATAAAAATGGGAGATATTTTGGCTAGTAATTTACAGGACATGGGCTTATTGGGGATAAATAAGGTATCCTGTATGATGAGCATAGTGATATGTTATTGGGATGTAATGTTGTCTGACATTTCACTTTAACACTGTCGACTAACCTAAAACTTATTTTGAATATTTAAAATATTTTTGTTTTGTTTTCAGAAAGACAAATATGTTGGTCTGATAGAAGTTGGCATGTTACTGCAGTACTTGCTTGGTGATTTCTATATACCTGTCTACCTGAAAGAAGAGTATTTTTCACTGCAGAACTTGAACTGGACTTGCTTGGTGATTTCTATATACCTGTCTACCTGAAAGAAGAGTATTTTTCACGCATCGATGTAGGTGACATGGACCATGGTTGGCCCAGTAGTTAAGTGACATATACCATGGCTAGCCCAGTAGGTAAGTGACATGGACCATGGCTGGCCCAGTAGGTAGGTGACATGGACCATGGCTGGCCCAGTAGGTAAGTGACACGGACCATGGCTGGCCCAGTCGGTAAGTGTCATGGACCATGGTTGGCCCAGTAGGTAGGTGACATGGACCATGGTTGGCCCAGTAGGTAAGTGACATGGACCATGGTTGGCCCAGTAGGTAAGTGACATGGACCATGGCTGGCCCAGTAGGTAAGTGACATGGACCATGGTTGGCCCAGTAGGTAAGTGACATGGACCATGGCTGGCCCAGTTGGTAAGTGTCATGGACCATGGTTGGCCCAATAGGTAAGTGTCATGGACCATGTGACATGGACCATGGTTGGCCCAGTAGGTAAGTGTCATGGACCATGGCTGGCCCAGTAGGTAAGTGACATGGACCATGACTGGCCTAGTAGGTAAGTGACATGGAACATGACTGGCCCAGTAGGTAGTGAAATGGACATGGTTGGCCCAGGATGTAAGTGACATGGACCATGGTTGGCCCAGTAGGTAAGTGACATGGACCATGACTGGCCCAGTAGGTAGGTGACATGGACCATGGTTGGCCCAGTAGGTAAGTGACATGGACCATGGCTGGCCCAGTTGGTAAGTGTCATGGACCATGGTTGGCCCAATAGGTAAGTGTCATGGACCATGACTGGCCAAGTAGGTAAGTGACATGGACCATGGTTGGCCCAGTAGGTAAGTGTCATGGACCATGGCTGGCCCAGTAGGTAAGTGACATGGACCATGACTGGCCCAGTAGGTTAGTGACATGGACCATGACTGGCCCAATAGGTAAGTGACATGGACCATGGCTAGCCCAGTAGGTAAGTGACATATACCATGGTTGGCCCAGTAGGTAAGTGACATGGACCATGACTGGCCCAGTAGGTAAATGACATGGACCATGGCTAGCCCAGTAGGTAAGTGACATGGACCATGGCTGGCCCAGTAGGTAAGTGACATGGACCATGGCTGGCCCAGTAGGTAAGTGACATGGACCATGGCTGGCCCAGTAGGTAAGTGACATGGGCCATGGCTGGCCCAGTAGGTAGGTGACATGGACCATGACTGGCCCAGTAGGTAAGTGACATGGACCATGACTGGCTAAGTAGGTAAGTGACATGGACCATGGCTAGCCCAGTAGGTAAGTGACATATACCATGGCTAGCCCAGTAGGTAAGTGACCTGGACCATGGCTAGCCCAGTAGGTAAGTGACATGGACCATGGCTGGCCCAGTAGGTAGGTGACATGGACCATGGCTGGCCCAATAGGTAAATGACATGGACCATGACTGGCCCAGTAGGTAAGTGACATGGACCATGGCTAGCCCAGTAGGTAAGTGACCTGGACCATGGCTGGCCCAATAGGTAAATGACATGGACCATGACTGGCCCAGTAGGTAAGTGACATGGACCATGACTGGCCCAGTAGGTAAGTGACATGGACCATGACTGGCCCAGTAGGTAAGTGACATGGACCATGACTGGCCCAGTAGGTAAGTGACATGGACCATGGCTAGCCCAGTAGGTAAGTGACCTGGACCATGGCTGGCCCAGTAGGTAAGTGACATGGACCATGGCTAGCCCAGTACGTAAGTGACATATACCATGGTTGGCCCAGTAGGTAAGTGACATGGACCATGACTGGCTAAGTAGGTAAGTGACATGGACCATGACTGGCCCAGTAGGTAAGTGTCATGAATTTTCCATCGGTGGATCAGAAAAAATTCAATCCGTTTACTTCCAAATAATATTTACACCTCACTGATGAACGTAAGGAACTCAAAATAAAACTGTTGTTTGACCACGGCCAGTTCAAACACAATTTCCAATCTTGACTAAATGTATTTTTTTCTCAGAGGAATACAGACAGGACTTCGAGAACCCATACCAAGAGTTGTTTACATGGGCAGTACTGCAAAACAGACAAGACATGGCCAAGCTGTTTTGGAAACAAGGCAAGGTAAGCTGATCTACAGAAATACCAAGATCACAAGGATATAGGAACATTTTACTGTCTCAATATAGGAATCAAATACAGTCAAAACTTGTTATCTCGAAATTTAAGGGAACGTGGAAAAAATTTCAACTTAAGGTTAATGGTATCAGTTTCCTGGTGTTGATTACGGTTGAATGAGGCTACTATAGCACAGTGTATCGTGGTACAAACAACGTAATTTAATCTATTATTTAAAATGTCAGTAAATAAACAAATAAATTTCTACTTTCTCCGTTTATTGTTTATTGATCCAAACAACAAAACATGTAATAACAACTTCAATCAACTGAATTTGCACTCAAGTCGTTCTGTCCTGCACACGTGACAATAAAACGAAAATAAAATTTGCTTTTAAAACGCTACTATAAAAGATGTATGAAGCTTCAGATCATATTAATATTACTTGCTGCTATAGGATAGTGACACTAATTAAGAAGCCAAATTTTAATTAGATAATTAAACTGGTTGTTCATCGTCATTGTTGTGTGAATGATGGACCAATACGCCATAATTGGCCATGTGATACACACAAGTGAATATCTACCCTGTGTGTGTATTGACAGATTTCATCAGAGGACATGCCAATGTTTTGACAAAAACGAATTACCTGAAATTACTTTGACTCAATGAAATTCAAGGCATCCAAACTGAAAATACAAAGAAATTTATTTTGAGTCAAAGTGATTTTTCAGCCCCTTCAATTAATAATTTTGAAGAAGGAGGATAAAAATTGAGACTTGGAAATTATTTCGACCCAAATGGAATTTCAACTCCAGCAATGTCGAGACAGATTTCAAATGTATCTACATATATGTATATGTACCTCAAAAATAGATCCATGTGGTTCATTTCTTGATTTTGGTGAAAAATACATTCCTTTTGTTTTGAGTCAACAAATTGAATCACCTTTTAGAGTAAGAAAAGCATTATCTAAATCTGAGGACCTCGTTATCCCAGGAACCAACGGCAGCAGCTCTAGTGGCGTTTGGGCTGATGACAGCAATGGCAAAGAAGACTGATGACTGTGAACTTGCTAAGAAATTTCGAGTCAATGCAGAGTAAGTATAAAGTATAACATAGATTAAATGTTGGAAATTACCTATAGAATAACTGGTATTAAATGTTTTTTATAGGTATGTGCAAATTTTACTTATTACTCAGAAAATAAATTTGTGCTCAAATCATATCTATTCATGTTTGATTGTTACTTAAGCTCCTAGATGACCCTAGAAAAATAAAATGTATACTATCAAGCCTGTGTATAAAGGCCACTCAAAAGCAGCGAAAAGTGGCCTTTATACACAGGTGGCCTTTGTATAGAGGTTCAATTGCAATGAATTGCATTATATAAGTTAAAAAGCAACCTTTACAGACAGGATTCCTTGTCAGGATGCCTTGTATGAAGGGTGCCTCTAAGACAACTTTGAATGTTTATTTTCTTGAAGCGAGAATTGCTATTGAGTGTAATACTATAAATGGTGCGTCTTGATTTTATCAGAAGATAAAACTGTTATTCCTGTTTCTTCTGCTGTAGTGAGTTTTGTGATCTGTCTGTGAGTGTGCTCAATGAGTGCTATGAGTTAGATGAACATAAGGCCCAGGACCTCCTTGTTCGGGAACTGGATCACTGGGGAAGTGCCACATGTGTCCTGATCGCAGTGGAAACTGACAACAAACAGTTTATTTCTCAGACTGCCTGTCAATCCCTACTCAATAGTGTATGGATGGGGAAGCTGTCTCCGGATAATGGCACCATCAGCGTATGTAGACCCTGTCATCAGACAGAGTTGACGTTGTCACTTACTGTAATACTAGACTTCTAGAAATCTAGACTAGATAATCAAAACATTATTATGGTCCTTTATTTGTGTTAAAAGTAACATCAAAAATATGTATTTGTGTTGCTTAAGAGCTTTATTTAAATCGGTGTTGATGTGATGATAACGTATGTGATGATAAGATCCATTTGGTACAGATGCTGACCTGTGTGCTATGTCCACCATTGCTGTTTCTCCTGATGAAGTATAAAGAGATAGACAACTCAGAGATTCAGTCTGCCAACATCAGCCAAACTGACACATTTACAAAGGTTGGTGTCCTGTAGTTGGTCAATGGTCAATTTTTTACAGGGGTCAGATTTTCCTTGGCCCAGTTTTCTGTTTGTATTGATATTAAATTATAACAGGAAGTTTTTTGTTTACTTCACTCAATGGTTTTAGTTTTTTTGTTGTTTTCAATGTTAAAACAAAATAATAGTTTAGTTTGTCAAAAGGATATCTATACAAAATTTTCTTAAACTTCATGAATTTTAATACATGTATGTGCCATCTTCTTTGTTGAAATTCCGAATATATCACAACAAAATCCAATTTGTAATACCAATTTGCCAGATTCACAATCATTATAACCGTCAATATATTCGGGTGCTCCAATTTGATGATCTTTAGAGAAGACATTTTTAGTTCAATGTCCTCTCTAGCCTCTGGTGGAAGGACCATCAATTTACTTTTGTAGTAATGAGAAAAGCATTTAGAGATGGAATGAAAAAAAAAATCAACATTTAATGTTTTCTCTAAAAATTAAATGAAAAAAGGTTAAAGGATGAAAAATGTCCCTCGGGTAGATTTATCATTATAACTTAATGGTTTACCAGATAGAAAAAAGGTCTCCTTAAGAAAAACTAGATATTTATATTTCAAATTATCAGTTAATATTCTGTTCACATTGTTTTATTGAAATAGTATTGCATGTTTGATAGTGTTTTGTTCCTGAATTTTCTAGGATGGAGAAAAAGCACCGCTGGTTCGTCGACCAACTGTAGCTATGTTTACACGAGGGCAGACTATGCTCAACATCAAATCAGCAGAAGCTGCTAAGTAAATAATTTCCTCATAACCTCCCCTTGTATCACTATTACTGAGCAGTTTGAGATGACTTAAACACTGGTCCTTCTATATTCAAAGTTTGACCGAAGATAAGTGTTAATGATCACCTTCATATTGGTATTATTCTGTGAAGTAATATCAGTTTCATACCATCAACTTATCTTCTGAGGTACAAAATTAAAAATCAGTTTAAATCAGTCATATAAAGATTAAGGCATGCATTCTTTGTAGTATTTAAAAAAAGTTGTTTCTTTACAAAATTGTCATTAAAGCCAATGAAGAAATGTAGGAATATTTTTTTTTACAGAATTTCTGTCCTTTTCCATATATGATGGATTTTAATGCATAAACTTGATGTTTACAGAGCAGAGGCAGAAATCAACGTCAGAAATCAACAACAGCAGTACAATCCAATACAAAAGATATATCTTTTTTACTCGTCACCCGTCATCATATTTGTACATAATGTTGTAAGTATGATATACATAATGTTGTAAGTATAATATACATAAAGTTGTAAGTATGATATACATAATGTTGTACATATAATGTACATAATGTTGTAAGTATGTATAATGTTGTAAGTATGATGTACATAATGTTGTAAGTATGATGTACATAATGTTGTAAGTATAATATACATAAAGTTGTAAGTATGATATACATAATGTTGTACATATAATGTACATAATGTTGTGAAGTATATATAATGTTGTAAGTATGATATACATAATGTTGTACATATAATGTACATAATGTTGTAAGTATAATATACATACTTTTGTAACTATGATTTACATACTGTTGTAAGTATGATATACATAATGTTGTAAGTATGATATACATAATGTTGTACATATAATGTACATGATATTGTAAGTGTGATGTACATAATGTCTCAAGTATGATATACATAATGTTGTAAGTATGATGTACATAATGTTGTAAGTATGATGTACATAATGTTGTTAGTATAATATACATAATGTTGTAAGTATGATGTACATAATGTTGTAAGTATGATATACATAATGTTGTAAGTATGATATACATAATGTTGTAAGCGTAATGTATATAATTTTGTATGTATGATGTTCATAATGTATATAATTTTGATGTACATTATGTTGTAAGTGTGATGTGCCTTTTTCCAATGTCAAAGAAATATTTTCCAATTTATATGTGTGACATTGATGTGATACTCAGCAAGTTAGTAATGATATCTCATCCTCAGGGAAAGGATTTTTTAAAGTTTAGCAAGTGGTTTCTCTCACTTTGAAAATCATTTCCTGGTCACCGGTGTAATTGATGTTTCTACCACTCAATTCCCAAATGTGTGTTATCCTATCTGATGAGGGCAGTAACATGTGCAGAATGATAAGGCACATGTGAGTTGTCTTTTCCTGGGTACAATATATAGGTATATAGGTGAAAACAGTTTTGTCTTCTCGTTAGAGGAATATTGTCTTTCTGACACAGATAATTATATTTGAACCTGTTCAGTATATAATAACTTCCTTAAACAGAGTAAAAAGAATACAATGTTTTGTTGCCTAACTGTGGTTTGTTATGTTACAGCTGTCTTACCTACTTTTCCTGGGACTGTTCAGCTACGTCCTACTGATCAAAATGTCGAGCACTGTATCAGTTCAGGAGATTGTCCTGATGGTGTGGGTGTTTAGTATATTTGCTGAGGAGATCAGACAGGTAGATATCACTGTATTATTTACTATTCCCATAAATAAGGGGATAGAATGCTTATTTCTGTAATTATCCATGTTTATGACAACAATTATGTGATAGTTTTTGAAAAAAAAATATGTGAATATAAGATAATTGACATCAACCGTGTTGAAATAATGTGACTTAATAATATCTGTACTGTTAAGTAGACTGTTCTATTAAAACTATTTACTGTAAGTGAAATTTGTCATCTTTTACATTTCTCTTGTTTGGGTGTATAGTTTTAGTTCACGTTTGTGTGTATAACTTAACTATAGGTAGAAATTACAGGGATTGCTTCTAATGCTTTCATATAATTAATTAGGATCACTTAGCTGACTGTTGGACAGTGTAGAGCGAAGGGACATCATATTCACTATAGGAACGCTTGTTAACTCAAGATTAACCTGAATGTGCACCAATGAAATGATAAAAAGTATTGTTTTTGACTGAGGTTGAGGAATATAACTTACCATCTATATTAAAGCTCTAAACACATAACTGTACAGTGAATACTGCTTAATATCATGTTGCATTTTTCAGGAAAAATTTGTGATAATAAGCAGAACATGACATTAACAGTTTATATGGCTTATTGACCTCTAAACCCAGAAGTGAACTTTCAGATGCAATAAACTGACCTGTTTCTTACCGAAATTGTTTGAAGAAAAAATTAGATTTTTTCCTTTAGCTAAGAGATTTTTGTTAACATGGGTTTGCTATGGTAAATTATCGTGAATTATCATGTCATATTTACAGTTTATAATAAGTGATTCCTCCAGTTTTATGGAAATGTAACTAATACATAATATATATTGATACATGAGGAAGAACTACTCTGAAGATTTGATTATAGAAACAGGAAAAGTAATTCAAGCTGGAATTTTGATTTTGTTAATAAACTAAATTAATAAAAGTAATATACTTACAGCTAATGAATGTTTTTAAATTGCTTTAATTTCAGAATATCTAAATTTTGGTCTTATACAGAGATCTTGTTAACCCTGAAACTCTAGAATTAAAATTGTCTGTGATTGTGATGTCCATAGTAACGAACACTGACAAATGAGTTTGCAATAAAGTACACAAATTTAGGTGGAAATAAAGAAATGTACATGTATACTAGTAAACATTACTGCAACAAAAAATCTGCTTTCTGATACAACGTATCTAATTTTGCAATGTAGGTCAAAATATAGAAAAAAAAACCTGTATATACCGTATGTAGGATGTAATTCTACAAAACCTAACATAAGGCTTGTGATGTCATTACCTGTATATGTTAAGGATGGTGATTATGTGTTTAATACTCCTGATTTTGTAATCACACAGTCACAGTATTTGGTGAGTGGGGGCTTTATGCAGTATATTTTCCAAGCCAGACTCCACTTAGTCTTTCCTTTGCAACATGCCTCACATTTATAATTTCTTAAAGATATATAACACTATCAAAAAATGCTTTCATGTTGAAGATACATTTTACACTTTCACTTTAATGCAACATTTTCTGTTGCCAATGTCTTCACTATAATGACCCCATTACTGCTTTACAGCTTCAAACATTTAGTAAAACTTTAGATCTGAGATAAAAATATCACTAAGAATAACACACTGTAATACCATTATCATTACCTTTCCTTCATCTACAAATTTTAATTAATATTTATTTTTCTTATTTTTTTTATCTGAAATGTGATTAAAACTAAACAAAATTTAATATGACTGATGATTAATTTTTTTAAAGCATAGATATTGAAAGTATGACAACGGACACCAACAACATTCATATTCATTACACCTACTGGTGTTTGAAATTACATTAATTACCATTAACTTCCTAACACCTGATACATACACCTCTGCAATATATAACATGACTGATGACCTGAAAGTCACTGGTACTTATGTATGTAAAAATTTATATTCTGACAAAGTTCTTATTAGGGATAGTGCGAACTGCTGTAAGGTTGTTTTAATTTATACCATGCAGTCTTGTACCTACATTGTTTATATAACTCTTACGATGAATGTGTTGCTATTTATTACAGTCTGTTAAGAGTGTAAGTTATAAGATTGGGGTGAAAATCTAGTATGATTTAAAACAACGTGACACTTCTTCATCTCCAGTTTACTGACTTATATATATATATACATATAGTCACATATATCTATTCATAAAATTTCTCTCCTAAACCTTATTACTGAAGGTTGACTGGAGATGGAGAGGTCATTCACAGAAATAACATCACAATTCCTTCATGAGTTGGAACCCAAATAAAGCCACACTCCATTATGGCACATATTGTTTATAAAAATATAATGTATATATAAAAGGACACCAAAAGTTACTGTTTCGAGATTATTTTTATTAAACATACAATAAGGCATTTCTTACTGACAGTCTGAAACACTTGAAAGTCTGAAAATGTTTGCTGTGGCTTAATTTGGTTCTTTCACAATCCAAACATTGGTGTCCTACTGATATTTAACATTCAGTAGATAACAGCATGCTGTTGAATGAACCTTGGTTAGATTTGTGTTCAATTTTTACAAACATTGGGTTTACACTGACTGTAATGGTGTGCTTTATTTTGGCTCAATTAGGTATAGTGTTTAAAATTCACTCTTTTAAAATTAGAATGCTCTTCCTTGTACAGTACAATTAGAACCTTGTTAGTCTGAAAACTCTACATTCTTATGTTCGGTGATCAAAAATTTATTTTATTATATTACGTTGATCTTGTAATAAGCTAAATCAGAAATTAAGCCCAACGACCCAGTATCTATATTGCTGTTCAGTTAAACCAATACTATTTCATTATTTATGTAACACTTAGTACATCCACTGGCAATGAGTCAGACTAAATTAGGGTGTTGGAACGTGGGCTTATTACAGGATATTCACTTACTGAATTCAGCAAAACCTGGGAAATGAAAATCATTCTTTTTTTTGGTCTTATTTGAAATTTGGTTGTTATATTTTGTAGTTTTAGAGATTTACTGGTTAAAGGGTTGTAGGCTGTTGGACCAGGCAGGAGTTAAAGTTTTACTGCAGTGGTAACACAAATGTATCTCTGTAAGTTGTACATAACTGTCCAATTAGAGAGTCTGTAGGGTACTATACTGCAGTCTAAACACAAATGTATCTCTGTGAGCTGTACATAACTGTCCAACTAGAGAGTCTGTAGGGTACTCAATTAGAGAGTCTGTAGGGTACTCAATTAGAGAGTCTGTAGGGTACTATACTGCAGTCTAAACACAAATGTATCTCTGTGAGCTGTACATAACTGTCCAATTAGAGAGTCTGTAGGGTACTATACTGCAGTCTAAACACAAATGTATCTCTGTAAGCTGCACATAACTGTCCAATTAGAGAGTCTGTAGGGTACTATACTGCAGTCTAAACACAAATGTATCTCTGTGAGCTGTACATAACTGTCCAACTAGAGAGTCTGTAGGGTACTATACTGCAGTCTAAACACAAATGTATCTCTGTGAGCTGTACATAACTGTCCAACTAGAGAGTCTGTAGGGTACTCAATTAGAGAGTCTGTAGGGTACTATACTGCAGTCTAAACACAAATGTATCTCTGTGAGCTGTACATAACTGTCCAATTAGAGAGTCTGTAGGGTACTATACTGCAGTCTAAACACAAATGTATCTCTGTGAGCTGTACATAACTGTCCAATTAGAGAGTCTGTAGGGTACAACACTGTAAGCTGTACATAACCGTATAGTTAGAGAGTGGAAGGTATGACAACACCATTATTTGTCTTTCTTTCTCTGATCCCAGCTTCCACACAAAAGGAAACTCACCCTTACTATTGGCCAGCTTAATCTAAGCTTCATGCTGGCTTTCTGAATGTCAAACATACAGCTTGCTATCATTGGTTAGCTTTGCGGGTCAAAGGTAAAGCTTTTTCCAATAAAAAGAAATATGTTTCTACATAACAGCTTGAGATGTCCCATTGATTTATCAAACTTACATTTATAAATAAAATTGAAAAAGGAACATTCAGAAAATTTACTTATTAAATTCTTAAAAAACTGCTAATTTATCAAATTCAATCCACCACATTATGACGTTATCTTAAGACATTATATGTTTCTACAAAGAATGAGCTCAATACATTGTTCCATAAACATATATTTTCAGTTGCTTGGCCTATAAAGTTTATAGAGAGATTGAATGGACTGTTTATATATATATTACTGGATAAACGGTTGTCTATCCTTAATATATCTTGTGAATTTTAGACTGAGATAAATATAGTGTCAGATCATTCTCAGTAAAGTTGTCAGCATGTAACCATTCAAATATACCTGGTAACATGTAAAATTAAAATGGTGTACAAGGTAGATGTGATTGATTTACATAGCAAGAATCAGATTCTTGAGCAAATTTAAAGTTTAAATAAACAATATATTTCTACTTTCGTAGTCAATAAAAAAACCCTGATTTATGGGCAATGGTAGTATTTATTGTTAAATATTTAAATAAGTTCCTATCTGTGCACAAGTTTCTAAGTGTCAAGTCTCCCAATGGATATATCTTACACTCAAAAATTTCACATGTACAATTTTACCCGCCTGGGATTAATTGATAAAGTACTAAGCAAATATGAACTTAGAATTCAAACAGTCTCTGTAACTGTAAAGTGACTTTTTCTGAAAATAATGTGTGTTTTCATATCTGTGGTATTAATACAATCACTACCAGTGCAGTTTGATAAGTTTTTGTAGAGCTCACTCACTAACTGAATGCTTGTGTAAAAGAGCTTACATATTGACTGAAGACATTTTGTAGAGCTCACAAACTAATTCATTAATATGATAAAAGCTTATTAACTTATTTTGTAATTTGTGCATAACTCACTAATCATCAAGAGTAATGCTAAAATGAATGACACATTTTTACCACAGACATGATCGCTGCATAAAATAACTTTCAAGGACTCCTTTTCAAATTTTTGCTTTGGTATGCAAAATCTACGTCATTTACGTAGAAATCTGTTCCTTGAGTCTCCTAAAGAACTTTTCTGATACAGAGTTCAATGTGCTTTTGAGGGTCAGTCAACCTGTCTCAGAGTTAAATTTAATAGTCCTTGATGTGTCGACTTAGCTTTCTTCAAAAAGTTAAATTCTCTAGCTGTACTGATTTGTTTTCATTTTCTGACTTTTCAGTATTAGGGTTAGGAGGGTTTTGTCAGATAGAAAAATAAATAAATGTAAAAAAAATTTAGATAAGAAAATAATCAGTTGTGATCTGTGCTACAATGTTATAACTATTGTAACACTCTTCATCTTTTATATCAGCAGAACGCAGTATATATTCCTAAGGCATTTCTTTCACTCCTGTTGAAAATTTCCCTAGTTGCTAGACATGCTTGATGACGTTTCAGCTACACTCTACTAAATACAAACAAGTTCTATGGTGTGATTTCTGATTAAAGTCATATTTTACCTCAGAGGGAGGTAAATAGTAAGAATTGTACAAATATACATGTAACTTAAAACTTCTGAAGTTTCAAATTTCTTCTCATTCATATTTCTGTAACTTGTGCAATTTTGTGTCAAAGAGATATTTTTCCTGTATTAAAATATAGAAATATTTTGCTGTTTAATTGATATTTGAAGAAATAATTTTTGCTGACCAAAGAGAAAAAAGAGATGGCTGGCTATTAAGTTAAAGTTATTTCTGTAATGCGGGAACGGTGGTTCTCTGTACATGACTTTGATTTTCTTTGTTTCAGTTTTGGAGTTTGTTTAAGAAATACTTTGCATACTTAAATTAAATTTGACACGTTATTTCTTCTTGTCAAGAAAGTGTAAAGAATTAAAAGAAAAACTCATTGGTTAGTAAGCATTCTAAAAGCATTTAATCCATGTTTTATAGGTTTGAAATAATACTTGTTACTAACATGTATTTATTTTGAATTTTGCTGTTTCACAATGTGTTTGCTTCACAATATAACGATAAATTTAATTTTTGTATATCCTGGTATTGATTCAGATAATGGTAATATATTTAATGACAACCTAAGAAATGAAGGACTGCCAGTCCAGAAGAGATTTCATCTTGTATTCAAAATAAAAATAAAATCATTAATATAGCTGACTGTAAAATTGATAAAATGCTTACTCTAATATGCTTGCATGTTGATTGGACTGCAGTAAGGGTAGCCTGCTTCTGTAGTAAATTGTTAAGTTATACAAAATTGCATTATTTTTTTTTTTATACTAAAGATAATTTAGGAAGAAAATTTAATATTTCTTTGTAGTAAACCTGAAATTTTTTTTTTCAAGATTATGTCATCAGCGTCAAAGACATTTCAAACAAAACTACAGAGTTACATCACAGACAAATGGAATGTGGTGGATGTGTTTACGATACTTCTCTTTGTTTGTGGAACGATCCTACGCTTCCTACCGTATGACCGGACCTTAGAGGTAGCACGGGTGGTTCTGGCTCTGAACCTCATCACATTCTTTTTCCGTATTTTACACATCTTCTCTGTTCACAAAGAGCTTGGACCAAAGCTTGTGATGATAGCAAGAATGGTAGGTTACAAGAGCATTAGTGATTCTGATTTAAGTATTTGTCACTTTCATTTCTGTATTATATGGAACATAGTTTACATTATTTTGACAGTTTGACAACATTATATTGACAGTTTGGTAACAATATATTGATAGTTGACAACATGATATTGACAGTTGACAACATTATATTGACAGTTTGACAACATTATATTAACAGTTGACAATATTATATTGACAGTTTGGTAACCTTATATTGACAGTTTGGTAACATTATATTGCCAGTTGACAACATTTATTGACAGTTGACAACATTATATTGACAGTTGACAATATTATATTGACAGTTTGGTGACATTATATTGACAGTTTGGTAACATTATATTGACAGTTTGGTAACATTATATTGACAGTTGACAACATTTATTGACAGTTGACAACATTATATTGACAGTTGACAATATTATATTGACAGTTTGGTGACATAATATTGCCAGTTTGGTAACATATATTGACAGTTTTGTAACATTATATTGACAATTGACAACATTATATTGACAGTTGACAACATAATATTGACAGTTGACAACATTATATTGACAGTTGACAACATTATATTGACAGTTGACAACATTATATTGACAGTTTGGTAACATTATATTGCCAGTTTGGTAACATTATATTGACAGTTTGGTAACATTATATTGACAGTTTGGTAACATTATATTGACAGTTTGGTAACATTATATTGACAGTTTGGCAACATTATATTGACAGTTTGGTAACATTATATTGACAGTTTGGTGACATTATATTGACAGTTTGGTAACCTTATATTGACAGTTTGGTAACATTATATTGCCAGTTGACAACATTTATTGACAGTTGACAACATTATATTGACAGTTGACAATATTATATTGACAGTTTGGTGACATTATATTGCCAGTTTGGTAACATTATATTGACAGTTTGGTAACATTATATTGACAGTTTGGTAACATTATATTGACAGTTGACAACATTTATTGACAGTTGACAACATTATATTGACAGTTGACAATATTATATTGACAGTTTGGTGACATAATATTGCCAGTTTGGTAACATTATATTGACAGTTTGGTAAAATTATATTGCCAGTTTGGTAACATTATACTGACAGTTGACAACATTATATTGACAGTTGACAACATTTATTGACAGTTGACAACATTATATTGACAGTTGACAATATTATATTGCCAGTTTGGTGACATTATATTGCCAGTTTGGTAACATTATATTGACAGTTTGGTAACATTATATTGACAGTTTGGTAACATTATATTGACAGTTTGGTAACATTATATTGACAGTTTGGTAACATTATATTGACAGTTTGGTGACATTATATTGACAGTTTGGTGACATTATATTGCCAGTTTGGTGACATTATATTGACAGTTTGGTGACATTATATTGACAGTTTGGTAACATTATATTGACAGTTTGGTAACATTATATTGACAGTTTGGTAACATTATATTGACAGTTTGGTAACATTATATTGACAGTTGACAACATTATATTGACAGTTGACAACATTATATTGACAGTTTGACAACATTATATTGACAGTTGACAACATTATATTGACAGTTGACAACATTATATTGACAGTTGACAACATTATATTGACAGTTGACAACATTGTATAGGCAGTTTGCTAACCTTATATTGACAGTTGGCAACATTATATTGACAGTTGGCAACATTATATTGACAATTTGGTGACTTTTTTATTGGTTTTTTGGTATCATTGTACACCTTTTATTAAGATAATTTACTAACATCATATACATTTCATTGACTATAAGTAATTACATTATTTAATGTTGTATTGTAGTTTTTTGACCTGCTCTACTTTGTCATCATTCTGATGGTGTTCGTTGTGGCGTATGCTATTGCTGCCTACGCTATCCTCTACCCCAACTCTGAACTCAGTTTTGACCTTGTCATTGCTGTATTGAGGACTGCCTATTGGAACTTGTATGGGGAGCTCTTCCTTGATGAGTTAGAACGTAAGATCTATCTACTGAACAAACAGAATCACAGAATTCAGATACAAGAAATGGAAAAGTGTGATATATTGTTATTTTTACTGCCATTATTTTGCCAAAATTTTTATAATAATAAAGTTGTCCTATAATGTTAGCTGCCATTATTTAAAGGCAACAGGAAAGGATAGTTAAGTTGTCCTTTAATAACATAACTGTTATGAAATTTCAAATCAAACAACAGAGTAAGCCATCTAATGATTTTATTTTCAAAAGACTTGATAGAATTATCTCCCTTGTTGGTTGACATGGTTTTAAGCATTGTGTTACTTTACACAATATGTGTTGAAAGGTACAAATATGTGAAAGTTTTAGTAAATCTATAAAATGCTGTTATGATTGTTGCATTTGCATAGTCTTGTAATGCTGTGACATACTTTTGGTAAGGATCAGGAGAAAAAAATTCAACATGTAACATTATACATGTATTCCACCTAAAGGTAAAGAATTTGGATGAAAACAAATAACTGACTCTGACCAAAATTCTATCTGTAATACTAGACTGTTACTTTTTTTATCCAGGAAAGGAGCCAGAGTGTACATTTGATCCTCTACTGTACAATAATGATACACTGCCTCGCTGTCCAACACAGTTTGGTAGCTATGTTGTACCCTGGCTCATGGGTCTCTACGTACTCTTCTCCAACATCCTACTGCTTAACCTCCTCATCGCTATGTTCAGGTACGTTCCACCTCTGTTATACAGCTCGAACAGGGTAGTCAGCAGATATAAGTTGGAACATTATGTATTGGAAAAATAACCATGCATGCATTAATAGAAAATTAATTTTCAGCAAAATATTGTCATTTGTGATTTCCAGATTAACACTAACCATAACTTGTGATATGTTATATAAGATGTAAAAGATATTGACAGTATCAGGTGTGTGATGTCAAAGTACATTAATCTATACCTCATGCATCATGTAGATTATGTATGAGAAAGATATGATAAACATAGATTGTCACTCTGACACAGTCAATCAATATCTCACCCCACACTTATATAGTTATGATTGTATATATTCAACGCTCAATGTAATCATATATAGTATTTGTAAGACATTCAATATACATTGTGTAGATTAAGCAATCGTTGCTCATCACTATGACTTTGTATACTGAAATGTTCCTGTCTGTAATGTATGTATCACAACACAACATCCCCCTCCCTGTCACCTAGTATCAATATATGATATCATTTTCTAATGTCATAACTTCATCATTTTATAAATATGACAATGTCATATTCTGATGTCATAATTTCATATCAGCAGGCTGTTTTCATAAATATTTGCGAGAAAATCTTGTTAATGTGAAAAAATTAATGTTGTTTCGATGTGTGAGATTTGCGAAATTCTTCCTAAGCTTTTCATTCTTACTTGCCAGATGCTCACAAAATCGACACAAAAAAGTTGTGATGAATTTAAACAGTTCTAGATAACATGGAAACTTGTGTAAAACATCCTCTATCTACAGAACATATAATTATAAACTCCTTATTCTACAAACTTGTAGAAGTTTAGTCATAGATTACAACTTTCACAAATTGTATTTGTTGTGGATGAAATACTCTGAGACATAGAATTAAGAAAATAAACTCCAACACCTTTTTGTTAACTTTTGCAGATATGAAAAAAAATCTAACGATTAAAAAAAAAAAAACCACGAGAAAACAAAAGCATAAAAAAAGAAAACTCCAGAACTTACCGTTCATCAGACAAGCCCTCTGATTTATCCACATGAGATAAATTAACAGTTATAATCATGGATTATGCTTACTAGAATTATATCCACATGTATTCTGTGTTCACCACTAAATGTGACACGAGATTGTAGAATTCACAGTGTTAATAACACCGTATTAACATGTATAGACTGACCACTATGTACTAAATCACCATCCTACAGTTATATTTAGATAGGACACTGATTATACACATGTAGCTAGGTGTAGTGCAGGACTATTAGTACAAAAATGTACTTACCAACCACTGTATCATTGATCTGTACTTCACCAGCTGGCAAAAAAAAAAAAAAAAACGGCTAAAAAAAAAAAGGCTTTTCTCCACGCCAAATTCTCGAAACATGTACAGTTCTTCACATTTGTTTGGATGGTGGTTCATATATCTTTGTTCAGATAAAAATTCAAAATAGGTAGAAAATAGCCAATTAAAGTTTGGTTATATCAACATATATGTATATAAATATGGAAATAATCATAATGGTAAAAATTATGACTGATATATAGATTTTGTCAGCGACTAGCGTTAATGAGAACACTTCAGTCTGAATCATTATAACCCTTTATGTTTAAAGTTTGAGAATAGTGATAATTATTTACTGATTTCTATTCTAATTTCATTTATTTCATATTATTTTTATGAAACTTGATGAAACTTCATCTGAAACCTGACAATATAGCCAACATGTTAAATTTTTGGTTTCACATCATTTCAATAAATTGTCTGCTTTACATGGTAGTTAATTAAAACCTGTTCCATTTCTTATGGGTGAATATCATCTTAACAATTTGAATTAATGGTTTTCTAATAATTATCAAGTGATAAAAGGTAACACTGATTTATTTCTCATTTGTAAATCGAATGTTGTGAGAAATATGTACAGATGAATTGTATGGATGATACTCTGACTTACCTAACAGAGACCTCTTCACACTCTCACTCTGTATCTGACAGAGACCTCCCTACACACCCACTATATACCTGACAGAGACCTCCCTACACACCCACTATATACCTGACAGAGACCTCCCCACACACCCACTATATACCTGACAGAGACCTCCCTACACACCCACTATATACCTGACAGAGACCTCCCTACATACCCACTATATACCTAACAGAGACCTCCTCGAACACCCACTATATACCTGACAGAGACCTCCCTACACACCCACTATATACCTGACAGAGACCTCCCTACATACCCACTATATACCTAACAGAGACCTCTTCAAACACCCACTCTATACCTGACAGAGACCTCCCTACACACCCACTATATACCTGACAGAGACCTCCCTACATACCCACTATATACCTAACAGAGACCTCTTCAAACACCCACTATATACCTGACAGAGACCTCTCCACACACCCACTACATACCTGAAAGAGACCTCCCTACACACCCACTATATACCTGACAGAGACCTCCCTACACACCCACTATATACCTGACAGAGACCTCTCCACACTCCCACTAAATACCTGACAGAGACCTCCCTACACACCCACTATATACCTGACAGACCTCCCCACACACCCACTACATACCTGACAGAGACCTCCCTACACACCCACTATATACCTGACAGAGACCTCCCTACACACCCACTATATACCTGATGGAGACCTCCCCACACACCCACTATATACCTGACAGAGACCTTCCCACACACCAACTATATACCTAACAGAGACCTCCTCGAACACCCACTATATACCTGACAGAGACCTCTCCACACACCCACTATATACCTGACAGAGACCTCCTTACACACCCACTATATACCTGACAGAGACCTCCCTACACACCCACTATATACCTGACAGAGACCTCCCCACACACCCACTACATACCTGACAGAGACCTCTCCACACACCCACTATATACCTGACAGAGACCTCTCCACACACCCACTATATACCTGACAGAGACCTCCCCACACACCTACTAAATACCTGACAGAGACCTCCCTGCACACTCAGTTTGTACCTGGCCTCACTCATCTGCCTGTCTAACCTTCTGCTCCACTAACATCTTACATTTTACAGTTACACATTTGAGTTAACCCAGATGGAGACAGATAGTATATGGAAGTCACTGAGGTTTCAAACCATTAGTGAATACTGTGAACGCCCATCCCTTCCTGCCCCTCTCATCCTCATCAGCCACCTCTTCCTCCTCCTCAAGTTTTGTTGTCTACGCTGTTGTCGCCCACAAGACCAAGAGCGAGGCTTCAGTAAGTCCCCAACTGCAAGCGTTTCCTTTGATGTTACTGTTGTGTTAGGTGTTATCTCCCTTGAATCCCACGGTCCTTCCTTTATGTTTTTTTTGTCAGAATTTTGATTTAGTGTAGTCATCTGTAATTTTGTTTGGATTTCACCTGTATGTTATTTTGGTTTTGAAAGATCATTAAAATTTTTCTTCTGAAAAAAAACCAAAACTTTCAATCCTCTTTCTCCTCTGAATAAATTAGAAATCAAGTTCTTATTGAGATGTAAACTTGATAAGTAACATGTTCTGGAGATATATAACTTGTTATTTTATTAGGAAATATCAAATTTCTTTTAAATGTTTGTTATCTTAACACATTTAGGATTTTTATTGTAATTATGACATGGTATAAAGATTAATATTGTGTTATCATTTTGCTTTTTGATTCATTTGTTGAAAAAATCTCGATGAAACAGCCTGAAACATTCTTGATCCCTACCAGATATGAAAAAATATATATCAAGTAAATTGATTGAATATGAAAAACGATGATGATTATGAAGTGTTTTCTTTGAATTAGCAGATGAATATGGCGTAAGGGGGGTATTGAAGAGTAAGAACATTCATCTGATTATTTTTCTTCTTTATTTTCATAATTATTTTTAATTGTCATTGTATGTCTTAGCTGCATGATAAGTATCAGCTTTGAGACACTCTGCTTTAGGTATGATCAAATCAGATATAAAATGGTACAGTACTATTGTGTGTGAAACCTGTTTTTTGTTTAATTTGGTAAATATTTAATCATGTCAAATGAATATAAAATAAACATTGAAGACCATTAATTAAACAGAATAATGTATGGGATGATTTTGTTTAAAACTTTAAAAACTAAATGATTAAAGGGAGACAACCAAGTCAATCACTTACGCAGTTTATTTTGAGCACTTTTTGCTATATAGATTTGTATTTTATATGCACATCTTTCCTTGCATGTCTTGCTTAATTTCTGGATTAGAGTGTCTGTTCATATGCATGTCTAGTTTTATAGATATTTGTGTGACTTTTTTCCAAATCGGATATGATTTAATTGGTGACGAGAAAATCATATTATTTCAACAAAAATGTCTTGAACCTTTTGAACAAAGAGTTTAGTCATTTTTTTAATGTTTTGCAATATCCATACAGATACATCTGCACATAATAAATGAAATGTTTGGATCATCAGAGCTTTTTTTTCTGTTTACGATATATGATGTCAACTTGAGGTAACAATTTACATGAACATAGAGTTATGAAACGTTCAATTTGATTATTTATAAAAGGAAAATAAATGAAAAAATAAATGATAATAATAGTGATAATAGATAATTTTGGTATATGATAAGACCTATCACATATTTAGTCAGCTCATCTGTTTTGTTTTGTTGTCTTTCCTTCTGTTGTAAATAGTTTTACAGAGCACTGTTACAGTAGTTTAGATATGTACAAAGATTTTTGTAATATTGATCCTATTAATTTACATTTTATGTATTTCAAATAACTTACCATACTTGGTGAGGAGAGATAAAAATAAAATCTGTTGATTATCTATAAGATTAGGATCCTATGTTACAGAAATCCTATATAACTATGATACTGTTTCTAATTTAGTGTTTGTTTCTTAACCTGTAGCCTTTTCATTTTATCAGAAGACAGTTTACAGGAAAGCAGATCACTTTTATAACAGTTTACAGGAAATCAAAACACTTTTATAACAGTTTACAGGAAATCAAAACACTTTTATAACAGTTTACAGGAAATCAAAACACTTTTATAACAGTTTACAGGAAAGCAGATCACTTTTATAACAGTTTACAGGAAATCGAAACAACATTATAACAGTTTACAGGAAATCAGAACACTGATATAACAGTTTACAGGAAATCAGAACACTGATATAACAGTTTACAGGAAATCAAAACAACGTTATAACAGTTTACAGGAAATCAGAACACTGATATTACAGTTTACAGGAAATCAGAACACTGATATAACAGTTTACAGGAAATCAAAACAATGTTATAACAGTTTACAGGAAATCAGAACACTGATATAACAGTTTACAGGAAATCAGAACACTGATATAACAGTTTACAGGAAATCAGAACAATATACAGGTAGAACACAAATTTAACACTACTTACAAGTATTTGCTAATTACAATACATTATGTATTGCATTCACATTATATATACAAAGTACAAGACTGTTCCTTTTACCACATGCTTGATATGCAGTCATAAAAATAAAAAAGGGCTTATCTACTTTAATTCAATTCAATAAGATTGCGGAAAGCATTCTTTGATTTCAGGGACGAGAATGTTATCTTTTGTGTTTCTCATTTCTTTGTTTACTTTTTATTTTATTAATTTCTTGTTGTCACTACTTTAAATTGGTTGGTTTCTACAGCTTCACATTCCAGAAGATCCAAGACAACACTGACCTACATTGGTGTTTCCAGCGCTACTTCCTGATATATGAGTACTACTCTAGACCAACACTCTTCCCGCCCTTCGTCCTTATAAGTCATCTTTATTTGATATTTAAATGGATGTTTACAAAGTGCTGTAAAAAATGTGTGCAGAAAGAGGATTCTGACCTAAGTAAGTCTGTTAATTGATAATTGTAGGTAGAGTATCTGGTATTATCTAGCTAGGTACCTATAGAATTATTGAATACAGATCAAAGTATTCCCAATTTACATTTTGCATTAAAAAAGATGTTTCCCAACCAAGAAAATAGATTGTTTAGTTTAGGACTGGTGACTATTTATTCTATCTGCACAAATGAGATTTTGAAACAAAAAGAATAAATGAATAAATAAAAAATGAGAAAAGGTCAATTTAACATATAAATTTGTAACAACATGCTAGAAAAAAACCCCGAAATTAATCAGCCTCATTGTACAAATTATCTCCCTTAAAAACAAGTTACTTCCCTTTCTTAAGTAAAGCCAAATCAGCTAGTGACTGACAAAGAACTAATGAGACTCAATATGAGAGTGCTTATCAGTTGGCATGTTTTTATTTGTTGTCCTATCTCCCATTTTGCTGTTTTTAGTAACTGGTAATTTTCTAGGTCATTGATTGGTAATTATCAGTAGTTATGGAATGATATCTGAAATCTGCATGTTGCTTTGTTTTTATTATAAACGTACAATGTACATGTATATATGTAGTATATCATATCTGTAGAACTGAACAGGTTCAAGAAATCTCAAATGACTAAATGTTAATTTCTTTGTACTGCCTTGCATGAGTAGATCAAATATGTCATGTCTTTGTTTTAGATAATTTTTTTCTCTTTTGAATTTTGTAAATCATTTTTTTTTTTACTTTTTGTAGATATTGTAGATATTGTAGTATATGTACTTACCCTACCATATTAAAATTTAGATTGGTCAAAAATTGTTTTCTGTAGAAATGTTTGTTTATAAGATGTAGATGTTAAAGATTGTCTGTTAACATTAATCATGTATCAATTAAATTTTGTTATTTAATACATTTATACAGTGTATTTCATTTAGAATAGGATTATTCATATTCTGATAATCAATTTATATGCTGGTGAGTTAATACATATGTTATCTCATAAACAAAATTGTATTTAATAAACCAGTAATGCATTTACCCTGGTTTACAATGCAGCATGAGTAGGTTTTTCATTTGAAAATCTCTCATTATCTCAGACTTGATCAAATTTGATTTGATTCCAATGACTTTTTTGTAGTCAAAAAAATTCCAAATGAAAGGGAGATAATTCAGTGGGAGAATGTAATAGCAGATGCCTACTTGACACGAAAGGAGCTCTCTGAGGCAGATAACATTGATCATAGAATTAACATCATGCAACAACGGTGAGAATAATTATATAAAATATGTCTTTGTGTATAATCTGATGATGTCTGGTCCAGATAATTTGTAATAGATATAAAAAATTTAGCTCAAAACATACCAGATATGACAAAAAAGGCATACATTGTAGTTCCCATCCTTGAAACTCCAGGCGTGCAGAGAATGAAAGTGATTTTCCTCTCCGCACCCCTGGAACGTGTCATGGCAAAAATGAAGGAGAAAAAACTGACCAATCATAGGCTTTTATATGCTTCTTTTGAAGATTACAAAGGAGCTACATCCAACTTCAAAGCCATTACAATACACTGATATGTAACCTTGAGATTTGTTTGATGTACATTGAAAGATCAAACTAGTCTTTCAACTTGTCAACAAGGAGATGCACATGGAACATTCAATTTTGCCATGACTTGTTCCAGGGGTGAAATGAGTGAAAGTGATTCTAACCCCTGAATATCGAGTATGGGGCTGTACTTGTTCTTTAAACGAAAAGTATTTGACTTTGTTGGTCACAAATATGAATGTTGTATGTTGTATGCCATGATGTCTGCATTATTTAAAACACAATGCAGGTATTTTTGTTATATGTATTCTGAAATATGAAATTTTTCGATATAAAATTTATAAGAAAGTTAATTTCAATTTGGTTTTGTCTTAAACAATTCTTCAGGATGGATATGTTGTTGTCGAAAGTGGACGATATTCAGGATGACCAGCAGAATGTTGTAGCTATCCAACAATCAACAGGTAGAGTGGCACTGCCTGTGGCACAACCTGTGGCCCCTAGGCCACCGAGTCAACAGACAATCACAGCAAAAATGCCCCCGCAGCTGGAGAAGAGAATCTGCTCACTAGAAGATCAGGTAATTATAAGCTGTGTTTCGCAGGTAACTGAGATACTAAACACAGAGTATACTTACTGTTAACTGTTCATTTCTCTCTAATATATAAACGTTTAATTTATGTTGAAGAAAATACTTGATGGTATGAGGAGAAATTTTAATATTTCTATAACTGAGTTGACAGGTCTGTTTTTACTATAATTGATATACTCATGGTCTAGGTACGGATTATATGTACATGTACATACAGCTTTTGTAGTATTTAGCTAAATAAGCTGTGTTTTGATGGTGATGAGCTGAGAGTGTGGACATATAGAGTTTGGTAACCAAATATTTTCTCTTCTAGATGACCATAAACTGCAAAGCACTGTCCTGGATTGTCCAAGCTCTACAGGAAAATGATATGGCTGCCGGCAGATCACCGCCAAAATTACCAGACCTACAGACTCATGGTGATAGAGGTAATCAGCTTTTAACCGTATAGTCAGTTCAAGTTTTAGCCTTATCATGTTCAGTCCCATATTGATGCTAATTTGATATAGTATTGTATATAAGTGAAGACAACTTTTCACATATGAAATTGTTCAGAAGTTTTTCTTTTATTTTCATCAATTTATTTTAGATCTTTAAATGTCAATCATTCTCACACATTTCCTATGTCAGAAATCCCTCCCTTTCTAGAACTCTTAAGTGAAAGCCTTTCACTTCATTGTTACAAATCGTAGACAACTTTGTTTAATTATCGGATGTGTTGATATCTTTTCATCTTTAAATATAATGCTAAAAGTATGTAAAAAGTTAACCTGTTACTGTCTCGTTAACTACAGAAATAAAAAAGAAGAAAAAGGTTCAAGACCTAGCCCTTACAACCATCGAGAAACAGAGAGAGCTTCATTACAGATCACGGTCGAGTCCTTACCCAGGCAGCTCGGAGACACGCTTCTTTGTGCCAGACGACATAGTGTTCTGGGAGGTAGGTTGGAAATATAGATACCATACATCATCATCATTCATCATCATTAACCAGATTATCCAGGCCTTTGATTAATTCTTAATCCAATAATTACATAATTTAATCTGATGTGTTAGTTATCTTATATCAGTTTTACTGAGGTTGGAACTATTTTGTATTAAATCCTATGTTAGCTAGCTTTTTATACACAACATATCGTCGTCCTTTGTTTGCTGGCTGGTGTGTGTAAGCATGGGCGTATAGGTTATATTTTGATGTAGGTACCTTAGTACAGGCTAATTACTCATGGTAGATATTGGTTTGTTTACATTTATGTAGGGTGTCTAAATTTAGTATGACGTATAGGTTCGCTTGCTCAGAATCCACCAATGAGAGCAGTTGCTTCTTGGGGCTCTCACTCATTGTTGCTGTACAAATTACTAGGAAGTTAAGGTGATATGTGAATGTTTTTATAAGGTATACACATGGTGAGTAGCCCCAAAGAAGAGCCAAATGTATTTCTAATGACAAATCTTGTTATGTAGTGTTTTAAATAATAAATAGTATGTAAACCTTATCTATGGCATTTCTTATGTTGTGTATAAAATGGAAATTCATTTAATTTGAGTTACTAAAATCAACCATGCGATAAAAGTTTCATCCAATGATGTTTGACTGGGAAAAGTCTAGTTTCTGCCCTCAGTCATCTTTCTTGTTGTAAAAATGGCAGCATTTTGATTCGTTATAATCAAAACCATATATTCAGAGATTCAGAGTAGGTGATAATCATAGTATGGTTTGTTTCTAAAAAAGAAAAAAAATTGAAGGTTACCATCAGACTGAAGACAATAGTAGGACAAGACTCTGATTTCATTGCCAAGCATCAAAGATTTTTCTGGAATTGTGTTTTTATTGTCTCGTGAAAATGATCTTTAAGGTGTATGAACTATGTTATCATCAAACACTGTACAGATAATAAATCTTATTGGAATTACCATCATGATGATAAATACACAGTATTGGTTCTGTTATTTTGATATTTATTTGAGAAAAGTTGAGGAATCCAGGCAAAATATTTTCCCTACTTGTGGGTTGTAGCAGGAATCTTCCACAACTTTCTTATGGAAATAATCTAACAGATAAATAGGAGAGTACCTCATCTACCATATATTGTGTCGCACTTGTTAAACTTAATTGTTGACAATCATATATATTATGTCTGCCGAAACCAAGATACTTAAAGTCATGCGACACTTTCAGACACCATTCCCAGAATACAGTCCAGTGAAATATCTGTCACCAGAGGTCAAGGCCAATCCCTACTGGGCAGACAAGGAGGACCTCATAGAATTGTAAGTTGTTAAAAACATCATAGTAAAACTGAAACTATCAAGCTAGGTACAGTCTTAGTAATTTTTTGGTTATGTAAAGTCTACAAGGACATACATTAATCGACTCAAATGAAAAGTGAATATCTACAAATGGATGAATTATTATTCGGAATGAAGTTTTTGGAGATAGAGATAAAATAAAACAACAACAACAACGACAACAACAACAACAACAACAATTCAAAAACAAAAACAAAATTAAAAAAAAAAAAAAAAGCCATTAAGGAAAATTAAGTGGGTGACACCCTGTAGTATAAATACAATATACCTATCCACAGTGTTGTTGTAATATTCCTAAATGATATAACATTTTTACTTAAGGAGATTCTCCTATGTTATTGTTATCTTATTATTGCAGGCCGCCAAACAAGAGAGAGGGAAAGATCAAGTTCAACACGTTTGATTATGGCTGCAAGGTTGACCGAACCAGCCATCTTGGTGATTATAAAATTGTTGATGGCTTGCCTCAAAACCCCTTTGGTCGGACTGGTATCATTGGTCGGGGCTTGCTTGGGAGATGGGGCCCAAACCATGCTGGTGACCCTATTGTGACAAGGTAAATTTTACATCATATACCACTATATAACTGTAAGAGTAGATATTGATCAGTATGTCAGCACCAGTCTGACTCTGTCACAGATCAGAGTCTGTCTCAGTAGTTTGTGGTCATCAATCTGACTTTGTCACAGATCAGAGTCTGTCTCAGTAGTTTGTTGTCATCAATCTGACTTTATCACAGATCAGAGTCTGTCTCAGTAGTTTGTGGTCATCAATCTGACTTTATCACAGATCAGAGTCTGTCTCAGTAGTTTGTGGTCATCAATCTGACTCTGTCATAGATCAGAGTCTGTCTCAGTAGTTTGTGGCCATCAATCTGACTTTGTCACAGATCAGAGTCTGTCTCAGTAGTTTGTGGTCATCAATCTGACTTTGTCACAGATCAGAGTCTGTCTCAGAAGTTTTTGATGTTCTTGACACTTTTCTGTCAGTATCATCAGTGTTGTCAAATACTCAAAGTTTGTCAACTTTTTACCTTAAAAACGCTAGTAATCATGAAGGGCTGCGCAGATTTCGACCAAATTTGGTTTGAAGCATTCTTGGGCATTCTCTGGGGCCCAACAGGGGATTTGTCAGAATGATTGAATGTTGTCCCATTTTATTCTGAGACATTATTGGATACGGGGGAATCAATTTTGTATAGATGGTGGATCTTAGCTCCCTGGGGTTGGAGGTGTCGCCCAATAGGGGAAATGAAGCATTCTCGGGTGAAAGGGAATGAATATATAAACAGCGGGTTTCGGTCACCTGGGATAGGAGGGGTCTAATGGGGAAATAGAGCAAATTCTTTAAAATACAGCTTTTTCTGTAGGAATAATAAAATTTTGCCCCAATTCAGTCTGAGGCATACTTGAGCAAATTGAAATCAGCTTTGTATAAATGGATGGTCTTAGCCCCTTGGGATGGGAGGAGCAGGACCTGTTCAAGGGGAATTAGAGCAAATTCTTTCAAATTTTTCTGTTGGAATCAGAGGATTCTATCCCAATGGGGTATGAAGCAAGGCTTGTTTGGCTGACCTCCTTAGGACTGAGGGTAGAGCCGCACAAAACCAAGTGAGCAATACAGACCAAATGGGCCACTTGTTTTAGGGTGAGGTTTCTGTAATGGATCTATCAATTGACTGCTCAATTTATTGTCTAGGCTACGTTTACCAAAATTGTTTCAAATTTCATGTGTTTTAGATGGAAACGTGACAACAAGGGACAAATGGTAAAGAGTGGAGGCAAGCCATTGTTAGAATTTGTCAGCATACAGAGAACAGACAATCAATTGTGGTCTCTACCAGGGGTGAGTATCTGTGTACTATGTGAATGAAAGACTGCATTCTAAACAAGGCACAGGTATCAGTGTTCTATCTGAATGATAGCTATGGTCTCTCCCAGGCATGAGTATCAGACACCTGCTCAGTGCCATGTCATAGGATCAAATGTGAGTATCAGACACCTGCTCCGTGCCATGTCATAATAACCAATTTGAGTATCAGACACCAGCTCTGTGCCATGTCATAATTTCAAATGTAAGTATCAGTATCCAATCTTAATAAGCAGCTGTTGTCCCAACCTTGTGTGAGTATCGGTGTCCAGTTCGAAAGCTGTGGTTCCTACCAGGTTTGAGTATAGTGTCCTGTCTTAATCAACAGCTGTGGTTCCTACCAGGTTTGGGTAAAAGTGCCCTGTCTTAATCAACAGCTGTGGTCCCTACCAAGTTTGAGTATAAGTGTCTAGTCTTAATAATCAGCTGTGGTCCCTACCAGGTTTGAGAATAAGTGTCCTGTCTTAATTATCAGCTGTGGTCCCTCTATGAAGACCTGAAATCTGATTATTTTCGTCTGGGCCTATATTCACAAAACCATACTCATGCTCAAACTCAAGGTTTTGTGCTCACCTGTTTTATTCTCATGCTCATTGGCATGTACTGCTTGGATCAAGGAGCCTTCTTCTGCTGTACTCCACAAAAATTGCGCAACATACAAAATAATTTCCAAACATGAGAGAGCTCTCTTAGTTACCATGCTCAGCAGAGCACGTTCTCAGAAAGTTTGATGAATACAAATTTTGAGTATGTTCTCACTGGAGCACAGACTTGAGCATGGGCACAAAAGTTGAGTTTGAGCATGGACACAGTTTCATGAATACAGTCCCTGATGTTTCTTTATGTATTCTAGGGGATATGTGAACCTGAACACAAAGTCAAAGTGTATAAAGACTGAATCTCTGTTTGTGTTTTAGGGGATGTGTGAACCTGGACAGCAGATCTACGAGTGTCTGAAGGCTGAATTCTCTGAAGAAGCTCTCGGATCACTCATTACTGATGAAGACCATAAAAAAGAGCTAAATAAGAAATTAGATTGGATGTTTAAAATTGGCAAAGAGGTAGGTTATCGATGATATTGAGAATTATGTAAATATATCTTAACGTTTCCTGTATCTGTTAATATTTTTGTCAACAATATTCTGATACTTTTGTCTACAATATTCTGATATTTTTGTTTACAATATTCTTAAATATACAATGCAGGTATGTCAGATACTTGTAGCTGAATTGACCTAAGTCTAGTGTTCTGGAAAGTGTATATCTTGATCCCGTAATTCAATGACTGAATCAGATTCTAACATTTTGTCAGTAGTGTATTTGTGTAGTAGTTGTGTGTACGGATATAAACAACAACAGTAGTTTGATCACAGGATCATTAGTATAGATACTTACTGGTATATATTTCTATATGTTTCTATACATATATACGTATCTCTGTTTCATTATTACTGTCATCAGTATTGATGCATGGTATGGCTTGATTTCTTCAGGTGTGGCGTGGGTATGCTGATGATCCTAGGAATACAGACAATGCCTGGGTAGAAACCACAGTCTTCCATTACCATGACGATGATGGATCAATTCTCAATAACTTCATCCTCAGGGTATGCCTTAGCTAGTACTGTATATTATTGTACAAGAAGCTGATGAACACACTCATCAGTCTGTAACATTGTGTTTTTAGGTCTTTGTGTTTTTTCTGTTTTTGTGTGCCATAGGCTGTGTACCATCTACCATGTGTAAACTTTTTACATTTTAAACTTCTGAAGTTCTTAAGTTCCTGAGATGGTACTGACCAAGTGTTGATATATTTTTGGTTGGTCTAAACTCCTTTATGGCTTCCATTGTGAAAACACATTTTAAACTTCTGTTCAAGTTCCACTGGTTTCAATGGGCTGAAAATTAGTTGGAATGTGAGAGAAAAGAAGACTTCAAAGTGTTGTTATTTTCCAGCCATGTCAAAATTTCATTATGGTAGGCAAGGAGGCCATTTTATAACATGCTAGTGCAGGGTGGTTTCCCTTAACAAATGATTCTGAGATGGTCCTCACCATGTATTCTAGAAATTCATCACTGTTCTGTAATCAGTTTTATTTGACATCAGTAGCTAGGACGAGGATGTATATAAGGGGTTGATCATTTTACCATCTACAGGAAAAATGTGTGGGGCTCAAAATGGTTTGATATCTCCTCATATTTCATGAACACCCCATCAGAGCAAGTTTATGATTCACAATCCGTAAATTTTCATAACATCAGGTTCTGCTTCTACACCAGATTAAACTTTGTTTGTAAAGTTCAAAGGTTACACTTGACAACTTTTGAAGTAAAAGATACAAATATCTCATGAAATCACATACACATGTATGTATATACTTATGTATGAGTTACTTATCTTGGTACAAGTGTAGGTATAAGCCCTGCCAGCTGCTCACTTTGTATCTATTTTCAAATTAATGTTTAAAACTTTATCAGTGGGCCAAATGGTATTTGGTAACATGTAGAAGCCAAGATTAGACAGGTCATATCATTGATGTGATAAGTGATATCTGCAATTAATTATTTTCAGTTTAGAAATAAAACTTACAAGTATTTAGATTGAAGATTTTACCTCAGCAACCACATACATATATTTTTTATATCATGTTTCTTGACATATATCTGATAAGCACTTGAAACGTTCCATCATTACATTAATGGTACGTTGTGTTGCTGTGTTACAGGCTGGAGATACAGTAGAAAAGGCAACATGGAGCATAGCCTCCTCGGCTCTTCAGCTACATGGAGCCCACCTGTTCTATCTAAAGAAGGTGGTGGAGAAACTGAATGCTGCATTCTAATGCTTCAAAATGTAACACTGTGGATTCACTGATGGAAAGAAGATTAAAGTGACATTTTCTTATTTAATGGAGATGATGAAGCTGTTGTATTGGAATGTTTATGTACCTTGTTGTGTATTGAACCTCCGTTCACAGATAAATCAAACTGATATTACTGAGAAATTGCTGGTGTCTCCAGAGCTATAAAGTACCATTGAAAATGGAGTTTAGTTTTAGGAATACATATTACTGGCAAATGTATGTGACATAACATTTGATCATGAGAAAAAAAATGTAATGCAGTTATGTATTTGTAACAACATATATCTGAGTAAACAATTGTAGTTCTAGGTAATGATTATTAGGAGGAGTAATACAATTTTGAAAGTTTAGGAAATAATTTTTCACAATGCCAAGACAATTAAACAGTCTTACAATAGAAATGATTCCATCTCCAGATTAAGACCATGAGTTCCAAAAATCTCCTCCAAAATCTCATTCTTTCCTTTTCTTCCTCAAATGAAAAAAATAAACAACACTACACATATGCTTTTAATGAATATAATGGATGCCATCAATATCAACACTCAAACATTACATTCCTTGGGTAGATAAGCTTTATCAGTGGTGGAATGATGTAACTTGTCTTTGTTAACAGAGGTTTGGGATTTCGTTCCTTGGAAGTTTTTCTTCTTGTTGATAAATCAAGGTGTTAAATGAGGTTGATATTGAAATTTGGTATTAAAACAGCTGGATATTTTGTCACTGTTTGTACAATGGTTATATAAGTAATTCATTATACACTTTCATTATCTTTTTCATAAGGATTGATCTCGGAGATTTTTATCACCAGATATATGTCTAAACCATTATCTATACATGCATTACTAAACAAGTGGATTTATTAATAGGAATGTTTGCTATTACCTGTTGGTCTGATTTAACCTGTAAGGTCAAAGTTGTTGGGAAGATAGCACTACTTTGTGTGACACATATTGTTAACATACTAGCTGTTTATTTGAGAAATGGTGTCCTATATAATGTTAAGGCCTGTTTAAAATTTAGAAATTTTTTGTTTACGCTGTTTTCAGTGCAGGGATATGTTGTGTATAATATATCTACACACATCTTGAGTAGATTAACATGTTAAAATGAGTTTTGCATAAGTCACTATTTATTGACAAAATAATTGGTGAACCCCAATTTTCATATCCAGAGAAAACATCAATAATGTCACATACTTGACATATGGAAAGTGAAAGTACAATGTAACTCCCAACAAAATACTTGTGTATAGTCTAATTTCTATGTCATAACAGAGAATGAATGAGTCTATTCTGTTCATTATGCTTTTACTTTATGAAATAGAAACATGTTTTTGACTACTTCATAGACATACAGGCTCCATGGGCCTCTTGTTATCATATCAAGGATATATACCCTTAGATATTTGTAATTTTTAGAACTTGTACTTTGTATATAACTATGCATTTACATGTGTATGCATTCTGCCAAAATGTTAAGATGATCATATATATATAATTTATAACTTACTTAGAATGATTTTTCAAAAACTCATTCAGTTTTATGTTTGATGTTCAGCACATCAATTAAGTACATTTTCATTTTACTGAGATTATTTGTTAGAAACAATAGTTTCGTGTAAGAAGGTGTATCATTTTTATTTATAAACATGACATTGCTATTTTTTTCTTGGAGATTTTATTTTAAAGAATTTCATGAGCAGACTGCTGTGGCCTAAATGACTGTATATTGAGCCAGTGGGTTATCTACCTTTACCTTGGTGTTAACAAGAAAGCAGAAAAAAACTTTAGATCTGTGATATTTTTTGACTGTATATATTATGAAATATTTGTAAATATATTAATAGCAATTTCGTTATAATTGAAGGCATTTTTGTTCCTGTAAAGCATGTAGCAGCTTCCAGATTAGAGCTCCCTGTTGACCCCCATGTTTATCTCAAATTTTATCTACTCCATGCAATAGCCCCTTGTTGACCCTCATGTTGGTCTAAAGCCTGTATTAAGTCCCTGATGCTAGCCCCTTGTTGACCCCCTCCAGTTGGTCTAAAGCCTGTATCAACTCCCTGATAATAGCCCCTTGTTGACCCCCTCCAGTTGGTCTAAACCTGTATCAACTCCCTGATAATAGCCCCTTGTTGACCCCCTCCAGTTGGTCTAAAGCCTGTATCAACTCCCTGACGCTAGCCCCTTGTTGACCCCCTCCAGTTGGTCTAAAGCCTGTATCAACTCCCTGACGCTAGCCCCTTGTTGACCCTATGCTGTTGGTCTAAAGCCTGTATCAACTCCCTGATAATAGCCCCTTGTTGACCCTATGCTGTTGGTCTAAATCTTGTAACTGTACCTAATCTAGAGACTCTTCTTGACTTTCTCCTGTTGGAAGAATCCCTATAACAGTACCCAGTCTATAGACCCCTGTTGAGTGTCTCCTGTTGGAAGAATCCCTTTAACAGTACCCAGTCTATAGACCCCTGTTGAGTGTCTCCTGTTGGAAGAATCCCTTTAACAGTACCCAGTCTATAGACCCCTGTTGAGTGTCTTCTGTTGGTATAATTTCTGTCATAGTACCCAGTCTGAAGACTCTTGTTGACCCATACCTTTTCATACAGATTCAATGATAGTACCAATTCTGGAGCCACTGGTTAAAATGAATTATAATTTACTTCCCATGACCTTGTAGGACAAACGTTCTCTGATACCACCCAGAAATATTCCCCAATCCTTACCACCTCTGAAGATTATTCCCCAATCCTTAACACCCCTGAAGATTATTCCCCAATCCTTACCACCCCTGAAAATTATTCCCCAAACCTTAACACCCCTGGAGACTATTCCCTGATCCTTACCACCCCTGAAGATTATTCCCCAATCCTTACCACCCCTGAAAATTATTCCCTGATCCTTACCACCCCTGAAGACTATTCCCTGATCCTTACCACCCCTGAAGATTATTCCCCAAACCTTAACACCCCTGGAGACTATTCCCTGATCCTTACCACCCCTGAAGATTATTCCCCAATCCTTAACACCCCTGAAGACTATTCCCCAATCCTTAACACCCCTGAAGATTATTCCCCAATCCTTACCACCCCTGGAGGTTATTCCCCAATCATTAGATACATCATACTCACCACCCCTAAGCATCTAGTCTCAGTGTAACATAATGTTTTGAAGTAAAAAAAGTTATTTATTCAAAAGGTAGCTGTAGACACTGTTGTACCAATTAAATTTATATGGTTTCATTACCAAAATTTTTCTTTAGACTTTCATATTTTTAACGATGGTTGTAATTAATGATTTTATTGCTAGTGGTATATTGACACTCTCCCACGCCTCTAATTGATGTGGAAATCCAGTTCCTCTCAGGTAATAGTTTAAATCTAATTCTAAGAAGTAGGTCAATAGAATGAAGAATGGAAAACAATTTAAAGCCATATTACCTTATAGATGTAGTTAAAGTTTGAACCATTTAATTCCGTCCTCAAATATTGTTTTATTTTAAAGTACAGGTAATAGTTAGGTATATAATCAAACTGAACATATGATTAATTTTATATTGTTATTTTATGTTTACTTTTGTGTTTATTTGTCCAAAATTAATGTTTCATTTAGGCATAGTTTGTGTAATTAATCCTTGTGTAAATAAATTGTTTATTTACATAACAGGTGATTGTTTTATATAGTGTTTCTTTTGAAGTAGTAATTTTTCAAAAGAGCTTTAGGTACTCATTTTTGTAACGTTTGAATAGAAATAACTAACAAGAGTGAAAAAATACTATATACAACAACCACTTATTTGTGTATGATACCACATACCACAAACAAGATCCTAACCGACGACGACCTGTTCTGACCCGTGTACAATGTGTGTATTGTTTAAATTATCAGATTATCAGTTTGGGTGTAATAATATTACCTAAAATGCTGATTAATTAATATGCAAAACTGACAATTTCAGAAATACATGAATGCGGAATTGATTTATCACAAGTTATGACAAATAATTAATTGGTTTATTGTTTTCAAAGCAATAGATTGATCTACAAGATTTTTAAACCAGACATAAATCATAACACCAACTATTACAAAAATTAAGCGTTCAGCAAGATGATGTTGAGCATGAAGATAGGGGTTAGAAAATAGCGGTGGTCAAAGTTCACTGCTTCAGCCAATCAAAATGGGTTTAGAGTTTAATACATGTGTGGGTTATTTGTTTTGTTTACACAATTTTTTCAATGATTAATTGATGCCTTGGGATTTAAATTACACCTATTAGATTAATATTTATAAGTTAAGGTCCATTGAAACATTGTATGTTTATTTTATCTTTCTATAGATTGATAGTAATTATATGTTGTGTAAGCTGACTTAAGTTATTTATTTATTTCAAGTTCAGACAAATCTGGTAAGACTTTTTTAACTAGTCAGTAATGGCTGTTAGTTTGACTTTTTTCACACAAAATATTTTGCATATAGTCTTTGTGTCATTTGAAGGAAAAAATATATTCCACTTCTGTATAAAGTGCTTATTGCTGACACATTTCAACCTGCTGGGCAGGCCATCATTAGGGCACAGTGGACATGATGAAGTTAGGCATGACAATGCAGTTATGTACTTTAATGTTATCAAAATACTTATGTAAGGTCTGTTAGATTGACCATAGTGGCACTGTAGTCTCCCAGACAAATGTGCACAATTGAAACCAGTGTGATCTTGCCTAATTGAGACATGATGTGATTTCAAAGTGACCAATTAGTATTTGTGTAACTTGTTTGTCTGTTTATATTGATGACCTATATTTATGTTTTTAATCAAATGAATTTTCTATCTAGAACTAATTGATTATTTTCAATTGGTTGAGAGAAATAAAAATATCTTAAATAGTGTATGTATTGCCATTCTCAGCCAATGTTTCAAAATTCATTCCTCTTGGTGAACTTCATGGATACCATGCATGTCCTTTTGAAACAAATTTATTT